CCCCAAAACCCCAAAACCCCAAAACCCCCAAATCTCAAAATTCCTTATAATATTAAAATGTTTAAAAAGAAGAAGAAGCCTAATTCTCGAGCCCAGCTCAGACTGGGCTCTATGTGCTATTGAGCAATGCTGCTGACTCTGTTTCAATTTATACTTCAAAAAACATATGCTCAAGACCTATTTGTCACTCCAGAAAATACTACTATCAATACTGTCACAAGTTATGGATTCAGAATTGATGGGATCTTAAGGTAAGATATGCAACTGATTCATAGCTTAAACTCTCCTCATACTCTTCAAGTTATCATTCCAGAAGGTGTTAGAATTGAAGAAAGGTACTTAAACGACCCAAAATCCTGTTCCCTCAATATTTCTATCAGCGGTGGAGCTCCTTTCTTAAAAACACATCAATGAACTTACATCCAAGATGATCTTGAGCTTTACAAACTTCAACTATCCTCTGAAGAGCAATATTCTTACGTAAACGTCACTGAAATATCTTTCCAAACAAAATCCATCCTCACAAACCCTGACTCAGTCCGATTCACCGATTACTTCAAACTAACCACCGGGCCCTACCACCTCACCTCCCATCCCCCCATCATCTACTCCCCTGCCACCCTCATCTCCCTCACCGTAAACAAACTGGACCCAACCCCAAGCACTCCTACCACAATGAGATTCCACTTCCAGCCCCTGCACCCCCTCCCCTCCAACAGCTGCTTCAAACTCACCTACCCGCCCACGACCAGTTTCACTCACCCCACTCAGACCCCAGTTGCCTCCATCCTCCTAGATTCCACCTCCATTTCCACGTTCAGTATAACCCACGACCAACTTCTTCGTGAATTTACAGTCTGAAATCTCTTTGAGAGTAGATTTATTGGAGAAGTTACTGTAGAGATAGAGGATTTGACTAATCCAGGACCAGGGCAGGAATCTGGGGTGTTTAAGGTGACTACGTTAGTGCCTGGAGAGGAGGGGAAGTGGGACCCGGTGGATGAGAGGAGTGAGAGGTTGGCGAAGGAGGAGTTGTGAGGAGTGATTGAGGTGAAGGGAGTGGAGTTTAGTACGAAGGAGGTGGATCAGGAGATGTATGTGACGATTAGTGGTTTTGGATGGGTAAGAGCGAATGGGGACTCTTTGAGGATTTATGGGGATTGGAACTCGGGATGAGAAGATAATGCTTCAGGAGACCTTTGATATAAAGGTGAAGAATCGCCGAACTGTACGATGCATTATGGATTTGTGAATAATTCTGCCAAATGCTCTTATCACAATGGTTCAGAATACTATCTAGAGCTTCCAGGATACAACGAGAGAAATCATATATATACTGTTGGACCTTTTCAAAATCCTCTGGGAGCTATAAAGAAATCTTTTGGGAAGCTTCAGGTTTATGATCAATCAAATACCCAGATAATGCAACAACTGACAGAAAATGCATACACCACCATACCTCGGACTATTAATGTAAGCTCAGCTAAAAGGAATTCTGAATTAACTCAAGTTGCTCTCACGGCAAACTACACACTCTCTTTCATCAATCCTACAAGAATGCTAAGTGATAGCACAATCACTCTGATATTCCCATCCGATCAAGTCGGATATAATTCAGGTACGGCTTGCTTCAATGGATCAAATAACCTCGGCTGTACACTCTCTGATTCTAACTCAACTCATTTCCAAACTACCATCGCTCAGTGGTGTAATGCTGGTGCTGAATGAGCTGCTGGATCTACCCTAAGTTTCACTCTTGCTAATGCTATGAATCCAAGTTGGGTTGTGAGCCCTCTCACTTCTTCAGTGATCATTAAGACCACGAATGTCCAATTGACAGGATCTCCAACTATTGACCAAATAACGAGTGGAGTGCAGTTCAGTCCAACACTCACACCAGGAACTTTGACATCATTTTCAGTTACAAAAGATTTAGCAACAAATAAAGTTGGTGAAAAGACTTCTTACAATATCACCTTTGCTATTGTGACTGCAATCCCTGCAGATGGAAAACTTGTGCTGACATTCCCGAGTGCAGCTGTTTATAATGCTGCTTCAACAAAAGTTACTTGTAAAAACTCTGCTGAAATTTTGTTAGCTTGCTCTAACACTTCTGATTTTATAAATAATATCAAAACTAGGATTATAACCTGAACTTGCACTTCTGAGTGAGCTGCATTAAGCACAATTCTTATTCAACTAGAGGAAGTCTATAATCCAGGATCTACAAATCAAACCTCCACAAGTTTCGAAGCTCAAACCAAAACTACTGAAGGATATATGATTGACACTGGTCCTGTGGGTACAACTAGTGAATTTATTCTTATTCCAAATTCTTTCACATCAGTAACCACGAATTCACCAACGGCTAGCATTGTTGTTGGAGCCATTACGGAATATAAGTTTACAATTGTGCTGAAGAATGCCATCCCTTCATCTGGTGGTAAACTTGTTGTCATATTTCCATCCCAATTGGCTGTTCAGTCTGGAGGAACTTGCACTGCAGTTATTTCTTCTACCAGCCATACTTGTGCTGTTAGCAATGATGACAATACTGTCACTGTAACGTTTAACTCAGATGCAGCTGCAAGCTCAAGCTTGGAAGTCGCAATTATGAACGGAATCAAGAATCCAACTGTTGGACAGCAGAGTGATGCAATTATTTTCAAGTCCACTGTCACTGGATCGTCCACAACCTACGATATTGACGAAGATTTGACATCAATCAAGATACAGCCGAATGTTTATGGAGAACTTAAGGAAGCTTATGTCCAAAGATTGAACAACACATTGATAAATTCAGATAATGATTTGGAAATTAAAACCTATAGCTCTAATGAAATTCTATCTAAATCAACTATTAAGATTGAGTATCCTTTCGACCAAGTTCAATTAAGTGGCAATATTCCATCTGGGATAGATCTTATAGAATTAGCTTCTGCTGAAGATGACCAGAATGACGATGATCTTTGAGTTTCAAACCTAGCTTCTCTAAAATTCTACAAAATGTCAGATACAGGAATGGGAGATGAGCTGTGTCCTAAAAGCATAACTTCTAACACAACCCATCTCATTGTAATTATTCAAGAATGGTGCTCAGATGGAATGAATCCTTGCTTAGCAGAAAAAGCAAACGTTTGGTTTATAACTACTGGACTTAAGAACCCTCCAAATCCAGTTCCTCCAAAGAATTCATTCGGAATATTTATCGATTCCAAAGAAGGATACATTATTGATGGAATTTCATCTGGACTTTATACCACCCCAGATATCAGCCCAGGAAATTTATCTCTTATTGAAATTTCCAGAAATTCTTCCTATGTAGGAGATATAACTAACTACACTGTGAAATTTGAGACCCAGATAAGTATCAAGGAGCCTAACGGAGTATCTCTCTACTTGACCTTCCCCCTTGGTCTGCTTTACCAAGAGGAAACCTTGGCTTGTACTTTTAATGGAAACGATGTAAGTTCGGAATGAAATGCAGAATATTGAGAAACATTATATGGGAAAGGAGTTAAAGTTTTAAGAATCCCAATGAATTGCCCTGCAGACTCTTGTGGAGTTGAATCCTACAATGTTACTTTTGTAGGATTTAGAAATCCTTTTAGTACTGATAAACCTACTGGGAGTATAAGTGCTTCAATCCAAGGATCTAATGGAAATGGTAATAATTATGATAATGATATCCTCTCTGATTATAAAATTGAGACTGAAGCTATTTCGCTACAAGAACTGGAATCTAATGTCTGAACTGGAAATGGCTCCTGGATTGAAAATAGAGTTAATAGTAATGCAAGAATATTGATTGATCTCACTTTAAAAACAAGAATACTATCTGACTCAAAAATAATTATCAAGATAACCAATGATATATTTGCTAGAACAGGTGATTCAATACAATGCGCCATAAATCCACCAAATAATCCCGAAGAAGCCCAAAACTGCGCCTCATCTACCACCGAAAACACCCCTACTGGCACCATTCTCCAACTCACAAAACTCTGCTCTCCCGAACCTTGCCCTACAGGCACTCAAATCTCCATCACCATCCCCCGTGGCTTCACTACGCCCTCTTCCAGCACCCCCTCCTTATCCATCACCACTCTCTCTCCTTCCTCTCACCCAATAGACGAATGCTCCATCCCCTTGACCCAAGCAGTCCAAACTCCTATTGCCACAGTGGACTCAGTCAGTCTTTCCTCAGAGAAAGTAGGAATGGATACTTCACTCAAGATATCAGCTAGTTTTGATTTTAGTACTTTGAGTACAGATTTTGTGTCCATGGAGTTTAGTGAGAGGTTCTTGATAAAGGGTGAGGAGGATGTGGAGTGCGGGAAGGTGGATTCTGATGGGGAAGTTGTTGGGGTGGTGGAGTGAACATCTATTCCCAACCCCGACGATGAAACAGACCAAGAAGAAATTTCAAGCCTCGAAATCAAAGAAGTGCTAGAAAATTGAGAACAAGATTGTAAAGTTGAGGTTTTGGTAAAAGTAAGTTTCACTGAGGTGGAGAAATGGGGTTGGGATTTTGGAGTTTTTTATGGAAAGGGATGTGTATGAGGGAGGGAGGGTTGCAGGGAGAGAGTGGTTGTAATGATTTGTAATTTAGGGACTGAGAAATTTACTTGTGCCGCAAGAGTATGAAGGGGTTTTGAGATTTGAAGTTAGAGATGAAGATGGGAATAGTATTGCTGATAGCACTTATGATTTGAGTCAATTAAGTGGATTGAAGGAAAGTGATTTGAAGGATGCAAGCGTTGAAAGGTCATCACTTAAGCCAGGTGCTTCTTCAGATTTAAAAGTTTATTTTAAAACTTCTGGAGTTATTTTGAAAGGTTCTTTAATAAAAATTGACCTTCCAATAAACCAGATAAACCTCGATGGTTCTGAATTCAAATGCATAGACTCATCTACCGACACAGAATTATCCTGAACTACTCTATCTACCTCCCCAACCCACTACTCCCTCACCATACCCTCCTGGAAATGCACCTCCGAAAACTGCCCACCAGACCACCCCTTCAACCTCACAATCTCCTCCTCCCAAAACCCCCTTGACCCTCCCTCCACTCCCACCCCCTTCTCTATCTCCATCCTCTCCCCTTCCTCCACTCCCTTGGCCACTACCACAGTCCTTCCCACTACTCCTCTATGAATCCCTTCAATCTCACCCTTCAAAATAACCCACTTGGCGCAGCACGCCTTGACCAATAGGACCAAGTACATTATTTCCTTCACTGTTGGCGAACAGGTCCCGGCTGGGGCTAAGATAGTTCTGAGTTTTCCAGAAGGGAGGATTAGGAAGAATGGTGAGGTGTTTGTGGTGAAGAGTGGTGCAGGTTTTGGGGATATTGAGAGTGCTGGTGCGGTTTATGAGGATGATGAGTGGTTGGTTGGAGTTGAGCTAGATGAGTTTTGTATTGATGGATGTGATGCTGGAGATTTTGAAGTAATGATTGCACAAGGGATTAAGAATCCAGAAGGGGGATTTGAGGGAAGTGGAGATTTTGGAGTGGAGATTAGGGATAGTGAGGGAGCTATGCTTGGGAGAGGTACCAACTCCGATGTTTCCTTCCAAAAGCCTAATCTGTTAGAAGCCTCACTCTCCAGATCCACCAACGTGGTCAGACAAAAGGTTGATCTGACTGTCAAATTTAGCCTAAATGCTGGGATTGACCCTCCATCTCTTCCTGAGTATGATAAAGTAATCCTCAAAGTTCCCAAGGCAGCAATGGACAAACACCAAGAGTTCACTTGTTCGAAAGAAGGTAATCCAGATCTTGGGTGTCAGGACCTTACTGATGAACAACCTGATACAGAGTACTATGTCGTCCAGATCAATGGGTTATTCCTAGTTGATGGATCCAATGATGGCTCACTTGTTCATTATGAGTTTGTTGTACAAGGCTTCAGAAATCCACAATCTCTGGAAGCTAATGGTGTAATGACTAGTTGACAACTGATAACTACTACTGTAGATTTGGATTCAATAGATGCAATATTCTCAGATTATAAATTTGACGAAGACCTTGTTCTAGGTGTAATGAATGAATATTCAGTTATTCATCTAAATCAGCATTCTTTAACTTTAGCAACTCAGTACATGATTTCATTTAAAACTTATTCAGAAATTCCAGCTGGTGGTAAAATAATTATTAAATTCCCTGAAGGAAGACTTATGAAAATTCCTGACCAAGATGTTGCTATCCAAACTGAATCTAGCGAAGAAACTGAAATCTTAGAAATAGATTATACTTATGACAGCACAGGAAGCTCCCTTACCAAAGTTATTATAACGAACCTCTGCCCAACTACCTGCCCTCCCCAATCTTTCCAATTCAAAATCTCCTCAGGAATCCAAAACCCAAACCTCCCCTACCCCACAGACGGCTCCTTCACCACAATCACTACAGATTCCACTTCCCTTCCCATTGACCAAAGTACCTCCTCTTCCCTATCAATTCCCTTCTTCACCCCCACTCCATTCCCATCTCCCCCACTCCAAAACACCATGACCAGGAACACCTCCTTCGCTCATGCTGAAGTCAGCCTGACTGTAAGCTTAAGCCCAAGCAGTGGTGGCTGGAGCAGTGTGATGAAGGAGCAAGGAAAAGTAGTGGTCAAGGTGCCGAAGAAGGTAGTCGTACGGGACAGTGAAGTTATGTGTGTGGCTGGAGGAGAGGAATTGGAGTGCGAGAGAAGGATGGATGGGGAATATGAGGTGGTGATTGTAGAGGGGGTGTGAGAGAGGAGAAGTGAGGATTGTGAGAGTGGTGGAGTGGTGGAGTTTGTGATTAGAGGGTATAGGAACCCAGCGGTTGGGGCTTATGGGAGTGATGGGGTTAGCTGAGAAGTCTTAATTGCAGATAATGAGTTGTATTATCAAGAGAGGAGTTATTTAAGTTATTCGCCAAATGTGAATTTAGAAATTGAACAGTTTGCTTCGTATGATATTAGACCTTTAGAGAATTCATACATTTCAGATTCAGCCGAATATGTTATAAGCTTTGATACTACAATAAAAATACCTGCCAATGGTAAAATAATATTCACTTTCCCAGAACAAAGAATTTTCAAAGATTCTTCCTCCACTCTCATTGTCAGAAATGAGGAAAATTTAGAATACACACCTTCAGAAGATGAAGTACATTATGACGACACTGGCACCTGGCTGACTAAAATTGAGCTGACTTCCCAGTGTATAAGTGCTTGAAATATTGGTTCTTTCTCATTTAATATTTCTGGAGGAATCAAGAATCCTTACTATGTTCCATCATCCACTGATGAATTTATCACAGAAACAACAGATTCATCAGGAGCAGTTATAAATTACGGTATAATACAAAACTCTGCTGTCTTCCCAATATTACCAACTATGATGACAGATCTAATTTCTGTTAGCAGAAGCAATGATTTATTGGATACTGCAGTAACTCTTACTGTTAAATTTAAACCACCTGAAACTATTCCAAGAGATGCTAAAATTCTTATTGGAATTCCTCATGATCAAATTAATCCTACGGGAACAAGTTTGATCTGTAAGAAAAGAGATTCATCCAAGGAGCATAACTGCTCTGATGAAATTATTGGAGATCAATTTGTAGTCACTATCGATAAATGGTGTTTAGAGTCAAAGGAAACCTGCACATTGAATGATCCTCTTAGCTTTGATATTGAAGGATATAAAAATCCTAATTCTTTTATTGCTAATAATGCTACAACTAGTTGGAAAATTAGCATCACTACAGACAATTCGAACCTTATTGATTTTAAAGAAACAGCCATTAAACCTTCTCCAGATTTGCATGGAATTCCTCCAATCATTCAACTAGTGTCTCTCTCTGACAGCATGATAAATGCAGAGACAACTATTCTATTCAATTTATTCCTAAGTGAGAGTCTGAGGGAATCCTCTACAATTACATTTAAATTTCCTAAACAATTTGCCAAAATTCCATCCCAAGAAGAATGTAACGAAATTCCTCCTTTATCTCGAAGCCTTTCTTGCCAATATACACAAGACAAAGATGGTTATATTGATACTGTTACAATAACTCTTGATTGAAATTCTCCAAATTGTATAACATCAGCAAACAGAGCTTTCTTAATAAACATTCGGAATAGAGGAACTACGAGAGCTGTTGGTGGTGACTTCACATTTACAACCAGAACTGCTTCAAAAGACTTCGGATTGGCAGTTTACGAAAACACCCTTATCCATTCTCCTTCACCTCTTATCTTTGCATCAATTATGAACTATAATCAGACTCCTGGTTCAGAAGCGCAGACTGACTTTTTGTTCAGAAATAGTTCTGAGATCCCTCAGTATTCAAAGATTAACATTTATTTACCTCCAGAAGTTGGGTTCAACAGAGCTCATTGATCAGACTCTGAATATATTAAAGCCATAGTGTTTGGAAACTCGATGACTGGAAGTTGTGTAGTGGATGGAAGTTCAAATAACAAAATCATAATCTCTGGTCTCTTTGATTCTGCTATAACAGAGACTACAAACCAAGAGATCAGGGTCACTCTTAACAACATGATTAATCCTCAACAGCATTTGATCAAATCAGGAAATTTTAATATCAGCATCAGTGACCAAGATGGGAATTTGATCGATGTACTCACTTATGATGCCAATATATGCTCTTCCTATGTGCAGTCGATGACTGTAGAGAAATTGGATGTGTCAAATAAAACAGTTGATTCCACATTCTTCTTGAGTTTTTATGATGAAACTGTTAAGGAATATGAAAATTGCACCCTAAGAATCATCCTTCCTCCAGAAGTAGTACAATCTCAAGATTCTAAATTTAATTTCATTGATGATTTTGGATTTAGTTCGGAAAAGGAGATATTGCCGTATGATCCTAATCTAGGAATATTAATTGTTACAGGATTTGAACAATCAGTACACGTATTTGAAATAGGTCCGCTTAAAAACCCACTAGGGGCAATTACAGTCTACTGGAGATTTGAAATTTATGATTCTGGAAATCTTGAAATCTGAAAGACTGAAGGACTTAATCACACAACTGTCACTAATATGTAAGTTTTTATAGTTTATCAATAAGAAAACTAGCTTTAAATTTTAATTATTTTCTTTGAATAATCAATATTATTGATAGTTCTCTTACATGCCAGAAATAAATTAATTTCACAGTCAACTATATTTCATTATTAAAAACATCATTCTTTCTAAACAAAAACAACCCCAAATAATCACAAAACTATAGACAATAAACACCTTTGAAATAACAAGAAATGGTCCAAAAACTGTAGCCCAAACATCAAATTGCACCGTCAAATTCAGTCCTGCATCCCGATTCCTCAACAACAGGTAACTTCTAACTCTAATTCTAGCATTGTCTCTCTCATTCTTCCGTTCCAACAGATCAACTATGACAGTTCAACGAAGGTCCAAATCTCTTCGGATGAACTATCTGCCTCATTTTCAGATCTAAACGAAACTCATTTCAAAGTTGAGATCAAGAATGTATGCAGAGAGGCGGAAGAATGTGCTGAGAATACTTTGTTCGAGCTGGAGCTTGTAAATGCGATTAATCCAGGATGGATTTGACCTTTGAATGAAAGATCAGCTGTAAGTACTCTGAATCCGAGGTTAGCAGGTATTCCGACTATTGATGAATTAGTCACGTTTGTGGAGGTTGGGAATGAACTGGCTGAGGGGAGCCTTGGGAATCTTCAAATTAGGAAGGAGCTTTCTGATGTTGTAGGACAAGAGACTTTGTATAATGTTTCCTTTACGACAGTCACGGATATTCCAAAAGGAGGGTTTATAGTGATTGAGTTTGAAAAAGGTACTGTGTATAAGTCTACAAGTGAGGTTATTTGAAAGAGAAATGGGATTGTTACAGACTTGAAGTGCGAAGTTGTTAATGAGACCGACGGGAATATTCTGAATATAAATATAACAAATGCATGCCCTGAAGGATGAGAAAGCAATACATATTTTGATATCACAATTGAAAAAGTATACAATCCAAGCTCAATTAAAACTGATAATAAAAATGTAACAGTTAGAACAATGACAAGCCAAAACTGTCCAATTGACTCATCCAATTTCACAATTCCCAGAAGCATAACTTCTGGCTCTTTTACAATCATCGAAAAAGTCCACCCACTTACCATCAAAGCCAACAAGCTCGAAAACTACACCTTCACAATCCAACCCCTCAACCCAATACCCCACCCACAAGGTTCCTTAACCATCACCTTCCCCACAAACTTCACCCTATCCCCTACCTGCAGTATCACCTCAACCTCCTCCTCCCCCTCTGGCCCCTTCTCCTCCTTCTCCTCCTTCACTACCACTCCCAGTCCTGCTTCCTTCACCATAAAATTCTCTCTCCAAATTGAAGCTGGTTCAACCCTCACTGTGAATCTGACTGAATGTATAAGGAATCCTATGCCTTTTAAACCAAGTGGAGAGTATCCTACTCTCGAGGATGCCAAGTCTCCAGTTGTGTTTAAGTCAGAAGTAAAGAATGATACAGGAGTGGAGAGCACTATTGATTATGATAACGAGAGTGTGAAGATTTATACGGATGATTATGGAGATTTGAATTCTGTGAGTGTGAATAGAGTTTCCACTGTAGATGGTAACGGTAAGTAGCTTTAAGATTTGGTATTTAGATATTAATTGGTGCTGAAAATAATGGGTAAAAGGGATAGATAGGTGTTTTATAACAAGAGAGTTTCGGGATGATTACCAAGCCCTTCAAGAATTTTCAAAATTATGAAATGTTAGCTGTCTCTAAGAATTGACTGAGAACTTAGTTTAGATTTGGGCTCTGAGGAAGAATTTTAGGAGATTTTGGAGGCAGCGATCAGGCTGGTGAGATGGGTTGGTGGGGTGGTCTGGGCAAGCTGGGATGTTACTTGTGAGAGTGTTTAATGACACTTTTTATAGGTGATGGAATGAATGAAGAAGTAGATATTAATATAACATTTAATAACTCTATGCCAATCACACTTAGAAGTCAAATTTTTATTTATATTCCGAGAGATCAATTTGAGTTAACAGGAGAAGATCTAAGTGCTATACAGCATAGCCCAATCGGTATAGGTAGACAACCCATTGTTGAATTTTTGTTTTATGGAAGCTCAGATTGCAAATATGTTGAATTGAGATTTTCTGAATTTTGAGCTGCAGAAGGCGAAAATACATTTTGACAAGAAAATATAATCACTAACTTAACAATCAAAGGATTTAAAAATTCTCATAAACCTGGGAAAGGGTTGAACTCTTTCAAAGTATTTATTGGAGCAACAGCATCTAAAAGTGAAAGTAAAGAAGAAGGTATATTTGCTTATCCTCCAATCAAAGCTAGATCTTTGGAACAGCCTTCAATAAATAGAAGTTCTAACGTTGTTGCTGCTTCCACTTCATTAACAATAGGATTTAATTTGCAAAATGAAATCCAAGAATCTAATGGAGTATACTTCTTGTTCGAACCTCCTGAAGAATTCTTATTTGAGGATTCTAATTTCTCCTGATTCTTCGATCAATCCGATGTGACTAGTGGATGTCTTGTAGAATACAATGACACTTCTTGGTATGCAAAACAAGTCAACTGGATTAGAGTCCCAATAGATTGCTCTTTAGGCTCCTGACCCATTGGTGAGCATAAAGTGACCATTTCAGGTTTAAGAAATCCTTTTACTAACAAAATACTTGAAGGAGTTATTTCTCTGAAGACTCAATCTAAATATGGTTCTGAATATGTTACTTATGATTCGGTAAATTATTCTCTTGAAATCGGTTCAGAAGGAGATCATTTAAGAAATCTGATCCCTAATACATGCAGTGCCACTATCGAAAGATCATCTGTTGAACCATATGACCCTGTGGAACTCGCAGTGAATGTCAGAACAACAAAGAAGATTTCTTGCAACTCTTTCATCAGAATCATGCTTCCTTATTCAGAGTTCTTGAGGACTGGAGAAAGAATTATTTACAAGAAAAGAAGCGAATCTGGCAGGGTCATGAAAATATATCCTGTCCATGATGGCAGCACTGTTGATAGACTATGTAAGTCACTAGAGCACTGTCTTCAGGACTTTTTCTAACGTTTTAACCCCTTATATTAGAATTTTAGTAATCTTAATTCTAGTAATTTCCATAATCATTCTTGATTTGCCAGTGACATTTTATATTCCAGTTCTTTTGTTAATGATATCATTGGTAATGAAGAATGTATTTCATATTTGGCTATTTTTCATCTATTCAGAAAATTTGACAATTTACATTCATAACATGAAATAACACTTTATAGGGGTAGAATTTCCTGAATTTTGATGTGCAAATTCAGATACTTTAGAAGAACCTGGGTATTGAGAAGAAGGATCTAATATGTCTATTATTATTCCTCAAGGATTCAGAAATCGTAATGCTGTGCAGGAAAAGTTAGCAAAGTCTTTTATAGTTATGATAATGGATAGCACTAGGGAGAATACTCTTGAAACCTATACTAAGTTCAGAGAAAAGGATTCTCTGACAGCAACTCAAGTAGATGTTACTAGCATCACAGTTGCTCTTGAAAATCCCTTTATTGGTTTCAGCGGTTATATGGATATCTCAGCAATTCATGGATTCACTGTTATCCAAAGTGACCAAATTGTGATATATTTTGAAGCAGAGTCTGAGCTGAAATCAGATAATGAACTATACTGTTCCCGGATAATTGACGGAGTGGCATCAAACATCTCATGTATTCCTTCATTCAATTCTGATGAGTATCTAGTTAAACTAATAGTTGATGTGCATTGTCCTTGTGAGAAAATGTCATTATATACATTCAGGATCCATAATATACATGATTACCTAAAATTCAGTGGGAACATGAAATATGAAATTAGAGTTTGTGACCAGACTCAGCTATCTGTACTAGAGAATGAAGAGGATGGATGTTTTAGCAAAGGTGTTGGAAGTGGCAGTCTAAACGAAGGTATTAGTCTTACTGCTGGAGATTTGAGTGAAGTAAATATTGAAAGATCTAATAATGTGCAAGGTGAATCTTCAGATCTGAAAATATCGTTTAAGACTCTTGGGATTATTCCTGAGGAATCGAAGGTTAAGATTGAATTGCCTTTCAATCAGATTCAACCTGAAGGTAGCTCTTTTACTTGTTTTGATTCTTTAAATGATAATCCAATTGTTTGAAATACATTTAAAGAAGATTCCTTAGGATACAATTATGTAATTATTCAAGATTGGGATTGAATTGCTGATGGATGAGAAGCAAATAAAGACTTTCAAATAACTATAAAATCATCGAAGAATCCAATAACCTCTGTTCCTTATCCAGATCCATTAGTGATAAGCTTCTTCATATCATCAGATACACTATTATTCAGTTCATCATCTGAAATAAATGCTTCTTCACAACTTGAAGTTGGCAAATTTGATATTCACAATATCACTCACAATACCCCGCAATACTCATCTACAACAGAATATATAATCTTTTTCAAGCCTGGACCCGATTCAGAAATTCAAGTCAATGATAGAGTAGTGTTTACTTTTCCAGCTAATAGAGTTCTCAAGTCTGATTCTTCCCTACTTTTAAAAAGAGAGTTTATCATAACAAATGTTGATGAATCATACGAATTTAAAATTTCAGAAGGTATCAAGAATCCAGACTCCAGCTACAATTATGAAGGCTACTTTATTACTGAAGTCTTCGATAGTTCAGAAAAGGTTCTCTATAGGAATATGACAAAAAGTTCAGACCTGAAAACTCTACAACCGCAGCAGATAGCAGCTTGTATTAAGAAGAGTATTGATGAACCAGAGGAAGAAACTGTGCTAATTGTTAAGATTAAAGATGATACCCACGATTCTGATACTAATAATATATTAGAAAATCAGAAAGTGTTGGTGAAGATCCCAATCTCTCAAGTGATAATCGATTCAGCTATAACCTGTCATCAGGGAGATTGATCTCAAAGTGTAATATGCTATCTAGAGACTTCTGAAGAATACCATACCATTACTCTGCTAAATCTGGACACTAATCATAATGAAAAATGCACATTCAGAACACCAGATTTAATTATCAACGGTCTAAAGAACCCCTCTTCCTCGACCACAGCAGACACATCACCTTGGTCAGTTCTTATCGCTGACTCAAATTCCAAAATCATCAAAGGGGCTTCTAATATAACACCTGTCCTGAGCACTCCCACAGATGCACCCTCAATAGAAAAATGCTACTTCTGCTGCATAGATTCCAGTTGCTAAATCTAAAATTCAATAGACCTAATTAGCCTCGGGGTTTTGGGGTTTTGGGGTTTTGGGG